TTTTACCTTTAGGACTCAGTTGCCAGGGCTCGCGCGCTCCAGCCCACAAAATCCCGTGGGAGCGGCGTCCAAGATTGCTAAACCGTGGTAGCGCAGATGTCATTGTAGTCGGCGATAACACCGAGGCAACGGCATGTGTCCACTTCGCGAGCACAATGCCATAGACAACATTACCACACCGCGATTACACGCATGATAACGCGGTCGATGGAATCCCACGAGGAGAGCACGATACACGGGCTACGGAATAACTCGACTACGTGGAGACAGCAAACCACGGAATATCACCCTTCGTCTAGAATACAGGCGATGAGAGACCAACGCTAACGAAAGACCATATACCACGAAACCGGTGCAACCCACGTAAATGTTTGAGAGCAGAGAATAGTTAGCTATCAGGAAAGAGGCCGTACTAAAGTGCATGAGCCCAAAAGAGAGGGCGCATACCCACTAAGCAGCGTGAACCACGGGTGAGCAGGGAACCACGAAGCCAGGAAGAGCACGGAAGAGCATGGGCCGTTGAAGGACACAACTTCCAAACTGTAGTACGCTCCAAACCACAATATTATATGGGGCCGGATGCGACTACGGACATGTAAGTGGTTAAGTACACGAAGCCAAGCTCACAAAGCACGCGACAGTAAAAAAGCACTTAAATTTGCGGACACCTCATCCCCAGCAAACCATGCCACTCCGCCGCGCAGCGGCGGCGGCCGGCTAGTAACAGCACATACGACAGTGATCTTAGTAGCGTTTGCAATATTGTTTCGCGTCATGCCGTGGAGCTTTTTCAGCAACAATACGAACAGGCAATTAAGAACAAATTTTATCTGCAAGGTATGGCGATGCAGTTTGACGCCGGTATAGCCAAAATGCAGACTGTCAGTGGCAGGTGCCGCTGATGGCTAATCTTGTGGTTATTGAGCACTGGTGACCAGTCTGGTCAAAGTAAAATATATATTCTGATTAAAAAAATGCGAGCATGTTGAGATTTGCAAAAACATGTTTTTACTGAAAGAGGGCAGGCCAATAATTGGGATGCCCCTTAATTATTAGTGTAAATTTGCTAAATCCGGAATCCGGTAGATGAAGAATTCGGTACATAGAACATTATAAATATAAACTAAAGAAACCCAAGGTAATCCTAATAATATGAGCATCGGTCTAAAACCGAGAATCATAGTTGCTTCCACCATTCCGCATCATTTACGAAGACTCAAACCTCACCTCGACCGTGCGCTGTTTCGCTCTCGTTCGCTTTGTTCTCTAACCCTGGTACGAGAGTGTCTCGGGGGGGGGGGGGGCGTCACCCGTACCGGTAATCTACTTTACTTTTTGTCACCACTTCGAACCCACAGAACAATTAATTGGACGCATGCAGACTTAAGCTCGACTGGCATCTCGGTGGCACTAGCTCAATTGAAACATTTAACGGGACCCTGGGGTCCCATCTGGACCCTGGGGTCCCATCTGGACCCCGGGGCCCTCATCTCAAACCGGTAATACTCGGTACGTGTATATTATTTATTACCATGTTGCTCACCCTAATACTTCCGCTGCGAGCTAAAGAACTGTAGGATGGACGGTTGGTTTGACCGCAGCGATGTTTCTTTTCTTTTTCTAGGCCATCCTGAATTGCGTTTAGCCGATGGGCTGGACGTGCAGCAGAAGTTTCGTCGTCGGTCTGCACAACTCGCGCATTCGCAATAGCTTCAGGTACGTCTGGATAATAACTGAGGTACTGCTTTGGGATGGAGAAGTACTTCGCTGAGAGCGATTTCTGTTTTTTGGCTGACAGCTCTTTCTTGGGGTGTCGAGGAGCTGTACACTGGATAGTGAAGCCTCCCAAATACTATGAACGTTTGATCCAAATAGCTTCGACAACGCATTCTGGATACGACTAACATTACTGCTGTCCACCGTAGCAAAAACGATAGCCTCATCATCCGGCGTGTTTACAGTGCATATCCCTTTGTCAATTCCAAAAAGATAATTTGCTGTGTAGCCTGCAGGTGGGGGCATAAAATCTTTAGCGAGAAGAGTTCCCCATTCGACAAAAAATGGGCGATCAGGAGCGTTGTGGTCGATAAATATTCCATTGACACTTTTAACTTCATTCACCTTTTTAACCAAATCCATTGGTGTGTACAAATTGAGGCCGCGGGTGGCGCGGCGACACCCGATCGGCTATGTTGTGCGAGTGACCAGGTAGTAGGAAGCACAATACTACCTTCTTGTAGGGAATAATAATCGACAGCATTGCAAAAAACATCATCACTACTTTGGATTTGTTTTGACCAACGCAGTTGTCCAGCAAGCTGAAACTCACTTCAGCTGCAGTAACGCCATTGCATGCATTGCGTTGAATAGTTTTTAAATGGTACAAAAGACGGAGACTGCATAATACATCTGCATTTTTGTCTTGGCCACGTTCATCATAGAAATAAACGTTGTTGATTCCGTGGGTTATGTCGGCAACGACAAAGTTTTGAATCATTAAATTGCTGTTGAAATAGTCTGCAGACGGACGGGAATGGCCGTAGTACGGCATCGAAATTCCTCCACCATAATCATCTGCTTGTATCTGTACACGACAGTGTACATGTTCATCACCCTCAGAACGAATTTCATCACCGGGCATGGAATCAACGGTGTCCGGAATAATCTCATTCGGAATCGACTGGTTAGGTGCATGTAAAGTGATGTATTCTTTGATAAAGGAAGAAACAAATCGGCGCTGGGCGATGGCTTCGTCGATGTGTGTTTTTTTCTCGAGTAAAATTGCTTGTATCTCATCCTCCGATAGATCGGGTTGTTGAAGAAAAATATCGAGGCGAACACAGCAGTCACAAAGATCCTCAGCGGTTCTCGTAAGTCTCACGCCAGGGTAAATGTAATGTACGTATTGTGTAAAGCGAGAGTAGCTCATTGTTCTTGCGTCTGGGTGCTTACGCCTTACGTCATCTTCATAACGAGAATGGATAACTATCCACGTGACCTTTGGCTCGGTAAAATACTGCCGCGGTTTGCGGTGTGCGCACGAAAAGCCATCCTCCAATATCCAAGCCGAACAATGTGTCTTAAAACGTTCTAAAACTTCGTCACTGTATGCATGAGCTGGGGCTAAAGGTTCGCGTCTGGTATGAAAGTTTTCAACACCAGTCTCTTGCATTTTCTTCAGTCTTGCTATACGGCTGCCGCCTACAGGAAGAATCGCTCTAATTACACGCTCCGATAGACCCTGCCGCAGTATCTGTTGCACAACACCCTCCGATTGTTGCCATTCGGTACCTCCTTGACTTGTATCCAACGAGTCCCAGTCTTTCCTCATCTTCACAACTGTTTCTTCTCCTAGCAGCTGTACAGCACGAGAGTACGCAGCTGATTTCCTGTCTTTCTCTTTCGAAGCGGCCTTGTCGACTCAAACTTACCACCGTGACGTCTATCCATCGCGATCAGAGAAATAGGAGCTCTTCTTGGTTTGCGTCAGTTATGCAGACATTGGAGGCAACCAAAAATAAATAATTCCCAATACCGAAGGTTTTTTTTGCGTGACCCCGGGGTCCCGCCAATTGTTTCAATTGAAGAATGTGGGAGGGTTTTGAGTGAGATCAGCAACACAATAGTCTGATACTAATAAAACAAGAAACAGGGAGAGCCCGACGGTCCGCAAATGCAAGAAACACGGCCTTTTAGGCCGTGTTCTGTCAGCGTGCAATTTAAATTTGGCTGAGGCACCCCACGACCGGAATACCCTTAGCCGGGGAAAAAATGCTGGTTTCCGGCGCTATGACTACAAGGGTTTATATGTACTTAAGAAACACTTGGCTGCACCCCACGACAGGAACACATTTATCTAGGAATACAATGTTGGTTCCGGGCGCTATGACTACGGAAGGGTTCGTTACCTGACGTCACATCATCTTCAAACACTACAGACAAATCGTGTAGTATGAAGATGATGTGACGCCAGCATATATCTTCGCCTTTTCTTTTCAGGATTTGAATGTTCCGGGGAGACCGTAAATACAGTAAGGCTTTCATCATCATTTTCGATTCCACTCACTCGGCAATAGCATCCCCTGGCAGAAGACGAAATCATGCGATTCACTGTCTTGGCTGCTCTGCTCGTGGGCATCTTGGCCGCATGCTGCTCCAGTTACGCGATGGCTGAGGACAATACCATCGGTCGCCGTCTTAACAAAAAAAAGTTGCTGAAACCTCTACTCAATTTGTCTCCGGTCAAGTTGCTGACGTTTTGCTGAAGAAAGCGGCGAAGGTGGTCACTGCTGCTAAAGGAGATGAAGCTGCAATGAAGAAAGCTCTCGATCTCGCTTCTCTCGCGAAGGCCAGTGCGAAACTCACTGATGATGAAGTGGCAAAGGTGACGGCTATGGTGAAGGAGGCCAGGGGAGACGAAGCTCATACCATGAGATACATCCTTGGGTTTTTTCAGAAGGAAGGCAAGGCACTAAGTGACAAATCTACGGCCTTAGTGTCAGCTAAAATTGCGGATACTGTAAAGAAGAACCCCAAATCCTGGCCTCGCCTGCGCCAGTTCGCCAAGATTACCCTAGGTGTTAGTGTCGGTTTGGCCGCGTACGGCGCTTACAAGATGGCGTTCGACAAGAAAGCGCCAGCCGATTCGACCACTTCTACTACGACAGGTTAGAGTCGACGCTGTCAATCTAAACCGTTGTGTTGGTGACGTTATCGATATGGATGAATCCGTAATACACGCATACAATGACGAAGTGACCGAGTTATTATCCAAACCGCCTTGATTTTTTATTCGAGGGGTGACAAAATAACAACATAAGCTTAATCCGTTTTGCACTAATAACATGGTGTGTTTATCTATTTTCGATGCTGCATTTTAATCCGAAGTTAGGAGTCCTTATACATATACCGGTACTTAAGTAATCAATACCGCACGTTAGGACGTATAAAAATGTAGTTGTTCATTCACGGGCAAAGCGCATTTGGGTGCAGCATACGATATTGACCTTGCTCTACATTTGGGAGCCTAGAGCTTCCTTATTATTAATAATAGTTTTTCCCGTGAAACGCCCCATCACCAGAGCTCCACTTGGTGACCCCTCTATTAATATAACTACTCTTTGAAAAGTCACGTTGCATTACAGTTTTAGAATACAGAGAAAACGTTTTCTCTGTCGGCGATCTAGTGAACAGTCGCGTCCAAATCCCATTTTTCCGCCACGAAAGACTGGGTTTCATTTTTCTCAAGGATGCAACGCTTCTGGCAGTCTTTGGTGATCATTGCTATCTCCGTGATAGTATCCACTGTCGCTGCCATCTCCCAGGCAAAGTCAGCGCTGATCTCCAGCTTCGCCGCAACTCCAACTAGTATTCTCAACATGGATCCGAGCGACATTGTTAACGGACAATTTGGCGCAGTACCGCCAATCACAAGCGCATCGAGTGCTAGCAACGTCGTGGACTGGCTTGTCACAATGGACGAGATCTTTTCTCGCGTAGCAACCGGGGGATTGACCTCACTGCCCCCAAACGGGTTTGTCGCCATGATCAAAATGGAAACTGAGATCGTGTCTTCCCCGAGCTTACTCAACAATGCCGAGGTGCTGAAGGCCCAGCTGCATGTACTTCCATCACTCTGGAGTATTGGCTTCTGGTACAGATCTGTGAGTGAATGGAAAACACTTTTCGGCAGTATCTTTGACGAAGCTGTTAGCGCTGCTAAGCTGGCACAAGACACCACTTGCTACGACGCTGCGGTGAATGTTACCTCGCTAATAATTCGCTTCACCAAAGACCAGGTCTTCTGGGACGGCGAAGACCACGGCGACAGCGTGGAGCTACAGGGGCAAAACAAAGACTACTTGGCCTATTTGCCCGAGCTAGTAGAGGCGTTGTCGAAGAAGGAAGACTTTACCCTCACAGAGGCTCAGCTTCGCACATTCATGGCGACGAAGATGCCATCCAAGACAGAGGGCATGAACACGGCGGTGGCGTTCCCTGTGTATGTGGACACCAGCATCTACAAAGCCTCAGACGCGGCGGCGCTCGCCAAACTTGTCGAGTTTGAAGCTAGCTGAGCCAAGTTTCGTTTGATCCTTCCATCGAAAGCCCTAGGCTGTCAGGATACAGCACCCAGCTGTAGCAACGCAGTCGCATTTTGCATTTTTTTAATAGCAAAGAGAGCAACAATATGATGAGAGTTAACGTGCGGTGTAATATTCGCTATACGCGCCTGCTTATCATTACTTTATTGCAAACCAGCCCAAACAATCTAGCTCGTCGAAACGCCATTTCTGCAAAAGGAGACGGAAGGTATGCCGCAGCCGTCCGATGACGAAATACACGTGCTGGTGGTGCTGTCGGTCCTACAGCAAGTTGCATCGATCAAGAAGAATCTTCGATGCAATGGAATGAACACTGAAGCAATATCTTATGAGCGTTGGCTCAAAATCTTGCCAGCTTCTACGACTTTAATTGGAGTTATAAATATGCTCCAACCATGGGGGGTGTCTTCAATTTTATCGATAAAAGTACCGTACGAAGTTTGGAAGGCATGAGACCGAGATTCCCTTACCAGATTATTTTGCTGATGTTGAGTTGAGACCTCTCCACGAGTTGAATGAGCGAACACATAGGCGTTTCTTCGATGGCAAGTCTATCCTGGATACATGGGAAATCGTACATCCTCCTCCTGCATCACATGTGTACTGACTGATGTGCAAGTAAACATGTACAAGGCCATCGCGGAGAAAGGACAAGTTGTGTGTGCTGCAGAAGAGCTGGACGTGAAAGATGAAGATGACTTTTCTGGTAGCTCAGGGCGCTTGACTATATTGTAGCTAGCAGTAAACTCCGGTTACAGTGTAGAATTCCTACACTACTACTTCAGACGGGACCATAGGAATGCGATAAAATAGTGTTAAGCTTAGAAGCTGGTAATTGCATCATTGTCCTTAATTACTCAAGAATGAAAAGACAAGCGAATTTAAAGATACAAACAAACGGGAGTTCGTTCGTAACTTGTAGTATAAGTGTAAGCTGTTCCTATGCTGTATACAATGGTACTGTAGGAAGCACCTACACTCCTGGACACTATTATGCGACCACCTCGTCGAGCGCCCCAAAATTTATCATTTTAAGGCCCGGCTTTAACAAAGTAGAGATTATTTTCATGTACTCATCATAAGATGCTTTGAGCACTCTCAACACGAATTAGACTAATCATGTTACAGTAAAGATTAGTACAGTAGCCGGGCTTTGTACCTGGGTATTGTTGCTGTTATGGCCGTTGCGAACGCGATAGAGTTTGTCCCCGCTGAACATGATCCACTAATCGACTCAGACGATCTTGCAAATTCCGAGCGTATTGCCGATGTTCGTCATCTCAGGGGAATCCAGAAGACGAATGATGAGGAAAGAGTGGGTCTGCTTGGTATGCCACACACGTCATGCGTCCTCTTAGCTTAGCAACCAGAATTCACAAAAGATTCTCGACGCGGCAAAGGATGACAGGCCGTTGCCCAAGCGGGCGAAGGCGCTCATTTTTCTTGCTGGGCTTGGCGCGCCGCTGATGCTGGTGTCAAAATATCCCAAGCGCAACTCGATTCAAAATAATCGAAAGGTTACTGGATAATAAAGTCGTTTAACCTTTATTGATCGTGTAAAAGAGGGTTACGTTCTAATTGCCTCGACAAGTTTGCAAGTATTAACCTTTCAGTTACGCTCGTCGTTTGCGTTTAGTGGGTAGGTTATACGAATCCAGGGGCACCGATACCACCGCCGACTGAATAGCGTCATCTCGTTTGGATTTCTTCGAGTCGTGGACGAGATCGTCCCATTTTAGTAGCGTATGTGTCATTCGATCTCGGAGGTCATTAATCCGTTGTAGCACCTCACGCTGAGGCTGTAAATTTAAAGAATCGGATGGAGCGTGTACCTCCAACGTAGAGTGCTGTTCCCAGTCGTCCAATAATGGTTTAAAACGCTTTCGTATGCGCAATGCACCGTCAGCTAGAGTTCGATACAGTGCGTCGTTCTCCGAAGATTCCTCGCATACCTGCTTGGACACTTCAATTGTCAGCTGATACGACGAGCTACCGAGTCCATAGGCCTGCACAATGTCGTTTATATCCATGCCATCTTCAGCAACTTCGCCTTCGCTGGTATCGAAGGCGTCGTCTCCTTCCTCTCCCACACTCTCCCACTCGACATCCTCCTGCTCTTCCGCATCTACTGGCGTTGTTGCCCATAGCGTATCATCGTTCCCACTCTCTTCAGCATTGCCCCGTTCATCACTGTGTTCCGTACTAAGAGGCATATTCACAGTACTCGAGGCTAAAGTCGACTTCTCCTCGGTATCGTCCTCCATGTGGAAGGCATCCAGCGTCGGCACCAAGATCTCGAACACACGATTCATCTCGACCAGCACCTGCTCCATCTCTGGCACATACCGCTTCATCTCTCGATCTCGCTGTTGTTTCTTGGCATTTCTCACTCGCTCTCGATGTCGTCGCGTGTTCACTTCTCGCTCCCTGACCTCTTGCTGTCTCTCACGTTCATGAGGGAATCTATACCCTTTACCCTCTAGCACACTATACGCTGCCACTATGGAGGGATATCTGTCCCCAAAGTCCTGTTTCCACGTCTCAATCAGCCCCAATACCATCGTTAACTGCTGCGAGTCGCGATTTCTGGCTCTTAAAGCTTTCGACACGTTGCCATTCGGGTCTTCACCTGCTGCTAGCAGCAACTGGCCAAAGAATGAGGACGTTTGTGTTGCTATAAGCGCTCGGAACACTGTCGATCGTTTGAAAATTTCTTGACAAAGCTGTACCGCCTGCAAAAATAAATATTTTTTTAAGGAATTGTCAATAGTAGAAATGGCACAAAGATTAAGATGATAAACGGACCCTGGAGAAGACAGTAGGCGACGTTTTTGCGCGCTTAAGTTGGTGCAGGATCGCTGCGTGGAGTCTTCGAATGTATTGAGACTGCACTGGGGCTTCTGCGTCGCGTAGAATTTGCTTGAGCTGCTTTAGACATTTCTCTGGGTCGTTTTCGGCAGACTGAAAACGTTTGTGACGCCCACCGCGGCCTCTGGGCCGGTTATGGGTGACGCTAGATACACGGAAGTAACCGTTTAGTGCCTCATCGAATCGAGTGGCCTCGTTCTCGCTGTTGAGCGCCTGGATGCCAACCACATTCTCGTCTCGATTTGGGTTCATGCTTTTGTGTTGTCAGCTGAAATATTACTTGGTCATTAAAGCGAGGTTTTTATTGTTTTTGATGAGTGCCGAGCAGTGTTGATGTGGTCCATAAACTTGGTGCACATGGCGGTACCTATTTCTTCTTCACGCGCTGTGAATCTGGAAAGCAAAGTGGCGAAGCATGCCAATCTGTCGCTATAAAGCTAGCTTGAAAAATCTGTGCTATTTCCAATCTACGTTTCATGTCAGATGTAAAGCTTTTTTTTAAGAGCGACAAAATCATCGTTATTATTTCGTTTCGAATAAAAAATTCTTACGTTTTTTTTGTGGTCTACAGCTGGTCTACTCGATGATAGGGGCCTTGGTAGAACCAACAAGCGATCTAAGTGTCCATTACTTATCTGCAATAGGTGCACTCGGGAGTGTCGAAACTTCACAACTTCACCTGCATCCCAGACCACAAATCTTGTCACTGTCCATAATTGGTGTCGGATACGGGGTGCAATACAGAGCACTGTCTGGCCATCGCCTCCAAATCTTTCTCTCATTGTTTGTTGGATCAACTTGTCCGATTCCTGGTCCACATTGGCAGTGGCCTCGTCCATCACGATCACCTTGCTGTCCCGAATGAGCGCTCGTGCAATGCAAAGTAGCTGTCGCTGTCCAACAGACAGGTTGTCGCCCTTCTCGGCCACCTCAAAGTCAAGTCCTTTGCCCCACGTCGACACTGTGCCATGTAAATGCACCTTACGCAGCGCTTCCCACAACTGGAAAGCAAAGTGGCGAAGCATGCCAATCTGTCGCTATAAAGCTAGCTTGAAAAATCTGTGCTACTTCCAATCTACGTTTCATGTCAGATGTAAAGCTTTTTTTTAAGAGCGACAAAATCATCGTTATTATTTCGTTTCGAATAAAAAATTCTTACGTTTTTTTTGTGGTCTACCGCTGGTCTACTCGATGATAGGGGCCTTGGTAGAACCAACAAGCGATCTAAAGTGTCCATTACTTATCTGCAATAGTGCACTCGGAGTGTCGAACTCCACAACTTCACCTGCATCCAAGACCACAATCTTGTCACTGTCCATAATTGTGTCGATACGGTGTGCAATACAGAGCACTGTCTGGCCATCGCCTCCAAATCTTTCTCTCATTGTTTGTTGGATCAACTTGTCCGATTCCTGGTCCACATTGGCAGTGGCCTCGTCCATCACGATCACCTTGCTGTCCCGAATGAGCGCTCGTGCAATGCAAAGTAGCTGTCGCTGTCCAACAGACAGGTTGTCGCCCTACTCGGCCACCTCAAAGTCAAGTCCTTTGCCCAAGTACGACCAGCCATCGAGCAACACGCCGAGAAGTACACTGGGTGAACGTGACGAGCGATTAAGGGAGGACATCCTAAAGAACAACTCGCTTCCAGACTACGATAATGCGTTCGAAGATACGCAGGAGGGCGAAAATACAACCATTGTTGAGCATTGTGATGATCAAGGTTATGACGAAGATGATTCTCAAGTTGATGAGGATTCTCAAGTTGATGACGACCACGATAATCGCACGGCTGATGTTTCTCAGATGGAAGTAGGAGATTCTCTAAGTGACAATGACGCAGAGTCGGTGACTGAATTTGATGAACATGATGGGCATGAGTTTGATACAGATGATGGACTGGACGTTAGTCATGTGTCGGATTTAGCACCGGTAAATGATAGCGAGGAGAGCGAATGCAACGGCTACGACTGCTTGTTCGACCCGAGTGACGAAATAGAAGGCGCCCATGAAGGCATGAGTGATGAAATGGATGATCCACCAGGACCCGGAGGTGGTGTTCTCGCGATTCCTCAGCAGTTACTAGTGGGCAAGGTGCATCCGAGAGATGAAGAAGTTCGCCGTGCGCAAGACCGGAAGCGTACCAAGGTCGGAGCGAAGCGTGCAACAGCAGCACGACGACCAGGACTGCGCGAAGTTATAAATACTCGCAAACCCGAACGATACGAAGACTTTGCGGTGTACTCAGCTTTCAAGGCACTGCATGTAGATCGCCGTGGCAAAGGTGGACTGCGCGCAAGTGACATCAAGATACCACGAAACTACAGAGAGGCAATGAGATCAAAGCAAGCAAGTTTCTGGAAGGAGGCTATGGACAAGGAGATGGCTTCACTGAAGTCCAAGGACGTGCTGTTGCAGATTCCAAGAACAGAGATGCCAGCAGGACAGCATGCTATCAAGACTATGTGGGTTTTTGACGTGAAAACCGATCATTTAGGATACATTGTGACCTTCAAAGCACGTGTCGTGGCCCGAGGAGGTAAGCAACGTTTCGGAATCGAATTTACGGACACATTCTCACCGGTTGCACGCATGGCGACATTCAGAATGTTTGTTGCGGTATGCATCATTCTAAATCTAGTGATCTACCAGGGCGACGTAAACACAGCGTACCTCAATGCTGCGCTTGGAATAAAGCAGTATTTGGAGGAAGTCCAGGGCTACCCTTGCGAGGATGGCGGGATAGTTTACATCATCAACAAGGCACTGTACGGACTACGCCAGTCCGGAAGAGAGTGGAATTCAGAGGTGAATAGTTGGTTCGTGAACTATGGGTTCAAGCAGTGCAAGACTGAGCCATGCCTCTACTTTTACAACAAAGATGGCGAGTTTGCCATGGTTCTCCTCTACGTCGACGACATCTTGTGCGCGACCAAGAGTGAAGAATTTAAGAAGAAGATGTTTGAGAAGCTGGACAAGAGCTATGGTTTGAAGGACCAAGGTCTACTCAACACATATTTGGGCGTGCAGGTGGAACAGAGTGAGGACTCCATCAAAATACACCAGACCAAGTATTGTGACGAGATTATTGAGCGCTTTCACTTCAGTGGTGCGCATTCCAGTAGGATCCCGATGGAGACGACTTTGCGTCTTACCGTGAAGGACACTGACACAAACCAGCGCAAGCAAGTGGCTGCGAACGGCAAGAACTTTCCGTATCGTGAACTGGTAGGGTCGCTAATGTACCTGACGACCTGCACTCGCCCAGACCTAGCGTTTGCTGTTGGACAACTCAGTCGCTACGTTCAAAATCCTACGCAGCAGAACATTGGCGCTGCCAAGAGAGTGCTGCGGTACCTAATCGGAATCAAAACCCAAGGGATAGTGTACACCCGTGCCAAAGCAGCAGAGCAAGACAAGGAACTAATTATCGACGGCTACTGTGACTCGGATTGGGGGAACGACCCCGATACACGCAAAAGCATAACAGGTTTTGTCCACTGTATGGCCGGTGGAGCGATATCCTGGGCGTCGAGGCGCCAGAGCATTGTTGCTCAATCTACCGCAGAGGCGGAGTACGTAGCTGCGTGCGAGGCTTGTATGGAAGGGCCAAGGATTACGCAACGTGCTAATCCAAGTTTTCCCAGACTTGAAGACCAATTTTCGCATGGGAATTGACAACCAGGCCGCCTACGTTATGGCGACGAACCCGACCTACAGTCGCAGAACGCGACACATCGAGCTACGCTGGCACTACATCAGAGACCAAGTAGCTAAACGAACCGTGGATTTGTGGAAGGTCAAAACTGAGGTGAACCCTTCCGACATAATGACAAAGGCACTGGCTGGCGAGCGACTCGAGGTATTGTGCGCCATGATCGGTTTGTCTAAGCAGCATCTTCCTCAGTGACCGATTCACTTCGGAGGAGGGCGTGTTGGAAACCGCATTCAGGTTGAAGCAGAATGAGTTCTTTACATCGTCTTTTGGAACTAGCTAGCAGAGTGATGGTCAGAAAGGCAGCCCAGTGCGGAATCGCCGCACTGCTGCCAGTCCGAAAGTTTCCTTTAACCCAACAAGTTGTGTGTGAGTGCGTTAGATCTGTGTTCTTTGAGACGCTTCATCACTATCACTTTCTGCATCATCGAAAGCACCATCCTGCACAAACTCATCGAAAGTCTGCAGCCACTTGTTCACCTTCGACTTGAAGGCACTCCCATAGCGGTCCTTGTACTTGATGTTTTCATTTACCTTCACATCTGCAACGAAGCCTTTCTGATGCTCGGTAGGGAAGTACACTGACAACATCTTCTTGATAGCCGATCAAAAAAGCCACTTTGCAGTTCGCACTTAGTTTCTTGCGCATTGTGGCCGGTGTATGACAGTACACCAGAGATCTAAACGCGCGGATGTGATGAAGATCTGGCTTCGTACCGTACATCATCTCGTACGGGGTTCGCCCTGCTCCCTTACAGAAGACTCGATTCTTTAGATAGACCGCAGTCTGTAGAGCATGCGTCCAAAACGATTTCGGAAGCCCCGAGTCGTGCATCATAGTCTTGACCATGTTTATCAGTGTCTGATGTGTCCTCTCCACCAAGTTCAGCTGTGAAGATTTTGGACCAACCTTCGTGTGGACAATTCCTTTCTCAGCATACCAGCTCTCCATTGAGTTGTTGCGGAATTCCTTGCCTTTGTCCGTGAGAACTTGCTTCACTGGCCCAATGTTGGCATCGTTCTCGCCACGAGCTGCAGCATCCCACCGTCGAGTGATCACTGTATCAACACGACGTCCGTGTTGCCGCTCGGCCCAGGCAATGTATTGCTTCATGTATCCATTCACCTCGCCTTCAGTCTTCGACTTCAGCAGGTATGTCGTAATGAAACGAGAGAAACCATCCATTATGACTAACACTGCACTGTACTGTGTGCCGTTGTGAAGTCCAGGTATCAGTAAATCGGCAAACACTAAGTCGTTCACTTTCTCGATGTTCCGCTCCAACTTCTTTCGGAAGGTTTTGCGTCTCTGCTTGCCGAAATGGCAGTCAGCGCAATCCATCTTCCCACGCTTCTTCAGCATGATGCCCTTGGCCAATCCACGGCCGACCATAAGGCGAATGTACTCCGGGCATGTGTGCCCCAGACGCGCATGCCAGACGTCGATGTCCTCGACTCCATCCGTCACCGCAAAATTTGCCACTACCTGCTTCCTAACAGCAGTAGACTTCTTGTTGACTTGAACGCCACCGATGTTGTGCGCGTCAAATGTCCACAGTCGATGTTCATGCTTTGCTCGAATTACCTCCGTGTTGTCCTTCGACATACCAAATAGCAGTGTCGTCTGATCCCACGACATCTTGAAGCCTTGCTCCAGTGCTTGTCCAGGTGAGAACAGGTTACAACCAGCTTTCGGCACGTATAACACATCTTCGACAAAAGCAAATACCATCTCTTCGTCTATCATGGTCGCGAGCAAAATCGTCCCAAAGCCTTCTGCTTGGGCGTCGACACCGTCCGCGAAGCCCGAAATTGTCGGGTTCCAGTCGCTGTCTTCCATGTTATTCAGTACCGTAAAGTACTCCTTGCTCGCCACAATATGGGCGTTGGTCCCACTGTTGAAATACCAACGACTGGAATCGTAGTCCTTCGCCACTCGCTTCACTACTTCTCCCAACACCACTTCACGCTTGTGCATGCGTGTATCCTCAACGGTCGCATCCGCTGTAACTTGAGCCGCGGGCTTGACATCAGACCGTGCCATCTTTGCCTTTGCACTCTTCTTCTCCCTGGTTTGTCCTCCAGGTCCGGACATTGATGCTTGTAGTGGCCCTTACCACCGCAGTTGAAGCACTCGACGTCTGCCTTTGCCGTTCTCTTCTTGTTTGCATCTCCCGTAGTCTTGTTCTGACTACTCTTCAGTCCGCTAGAAGCCTTGCCTTGCTTTTTCTTGCCTTGGTTATTGCCAAATGCACTTTTCTCCCAGTCCTTACTGCGAGTCTCAGCGGTGAGAATCAATTCTCGTACAAGAGCGGGTGTGTACTTGGCTCATATTCGAGCTAAATAGCACTTTTCTACGAAGCTCGTTGTAGCAAACCTGCGCTGGCAGGCTTCGCAGCAACATGTCGACCATCTGAAGGTTGCTCAATGGTGATCCGAGCTCTGCGAGCTCGTTCCTAATGCGAAACATCGCATACAAATGCCCTCGCACGTCACCATTCGCGCGCAGGTGAGTCCTGTGTAGCTCGCCCTGCAGGCGATACACCTTCTGCGCCTTGGTGGCGTCGTTGTTCTTCCCTTCGTAGATCTTGCACAGTTCCGCCCACATATCGGTCCCAGTCTCCTGGTCCATCAGCTGTTGAGTGAGCCTCGTTGTCAGCGAGTCTAAGATCAGCATCTGGATCTTCGCTTGCTTTTTTGTGTGCTCATCCTTCTGGTCTTGACTCCACGAAGCGTCTTCTGTCACGTTGCCGACAGCAATCTGCTCCAGCAGACTCTTCTGGAATGCCACCACCATGGTCTTCTTGTAGAAAGGCCAATTCTCTCCCCCCCAGTTCACTGGGTTTCCGGATGAGTTGATGTGGAACTTCTTGTCCTTCTTTCTGCTGTGTCGGTCGTCTTCGGAGTCGCTTGAGGATGACATCTTGTTGCTTGAGTGTCGTTTACTAACGTGTAGCGCTGTAGGTTGCTTGTATTTGGGCTCAGAACCCTAACAGAACACGATCTAGCGCACTCACACACAACTTGTTGGGTTAAAGGAAACTTTCGGACTGGCAGCAGTGCGGCGATTCCGCACTGGGCTGCCTTTCTGACCATCACTCTGCTAGCTAGTTCCAAAAGACGATGTAAAGAACTCATTCTGCTTCAACCTGAATGCGGTTTCCAACATCTGGAAAGCAAAGTGGCGAAGCATGCCAATCTGTCGCTATAAAGCTAGCTTGAAAAATCTGTGCTACTTCCAATCTACGTTTCATGTCAGATGTAAAACTTTTTTTAAGAACGACAAAATCATCGTTGTTATTTCGTTTCGAATAAAAAATTCTTACGTTTTTTTTGTGGTCTACAGCTGGTCTACTCGATGATAGGGGCCTTGGTAGAACCAACAAGCGATCTGAAGTGTCCATTACTTATCTGCAATAGTGCACTCGGAGTGTCGAACTCCACAACTTCACCTGCATCCAAGACCACAATCTTGTCACTGTCCATAATTGTGTCGATACGGTGTGCAATACAGAGCACTGTCTGGCCACCGCCTCCAAATCTTTCTCTCATTGTTTGTTGGATCAACTTGTCCGATTCCTGGTCCACATTGGCAGTGGCCTCGTCCATCACGATCACCTTGCTGTCCCGAATGAGCGCTCGTGCAATGCAAGTAGCTGTCGCTGTCCAACAGACAGGTTGTCGCCCTTCTCGGCCACCTCAAAGTCAAGTCCTTTGCCCCACGTCGACACTGTGCCATGCAAATGCACCTTACGCAGCGCTTCCCACAACTCCGTGTCACTTTTGTCCGCATGTGGGCTCAAATTCAAACGCAGCGAGCCACTGAACAGCATAGGATCTTGCGGAATAATTGTCAATTTCGAGCGTAGTTGACTCAGTGTAATAGTTGAGATATCCACAATGTCAATGAGAACTCGACCGCTGTTCGGGAACTCCACGACGCGAAAGAGTACACTCATCAGTGAGCTCTTTCCGGACCCCGTTCGACCGCATATTCCAATCTTTTCGCCGCTTTTAACGGAAAAGGACACGCTCTTGAGTACGATCGGTAGGTCTCTTCGGTACTGTAGTGTGACATTTTCAAAGACGATACTGCCGCAGCGAGGCCACTCTGGAGAAAGGGCGTCTTTGCTTGTAGGAGCGCACTCGTCTCCCTCCTCGTCAAGTGAGCCGTAGTGCGCAATACGCTCAAAGCACGTCATGATGCTCTCCACACGAGTCGAAAGCGTCGTCATCCTCTGGAAGCTGGACGACAGCTGTGCTGCGTAGGTTAAGCTCAGGCGTGCAGCGGCAGCTCCCATCGTCGATTTATTCGCAACAGCTAGAAGAGCAACGGAGCATAAAATGGCAGATACAAACCAATCTGTCCGCATATCAAACCATCGGGATGCCACCTGCGTTATAAAGTTGAACTTGATGTTGTTGTCGAGAAGTTCTTCGCATCGCTTTGCGAAAGCACCAGTCATGTTGTAAGATCGATCTGTGTCCAGCCCTGCAATCGTCTCGGACACCAAGTTGAGAAAAGGAGATCGCGTCACACTGTCAAGCCTCTTTAGCTCAAGAGCTGAAGATAAGTAGACCTTCGCGGCAAACCAACAACCATAGCCCACGGGAAGATACACGAGTAGTACAAATGGATTTAAAGCGGCGCAGACGATGAAGGACGCCACTTGGAAAACACACAGCAGGAGCCACATCCCCCAGTACGGCAACGGGTTGTCAACCTCGTCCAGATCTCTTGAGAATCGATTCAGAATTCGTCCAATGGGAGTCACGTCGAAGAACGTTGGGATCGGCGCAGCCAGCACTTTGCGAAGATACTTGAGGTGAATCTTAATCGAGCACGTCATGAAAGTCCGGATGAAGAAGAGGCATCGTGCGAAGACAAGCAAAGACGCAATCACAACTATCCCCGCGTAAACGCCCAATGAGCTCATTTGCGATAAGTTTACAGAGCCTCGAGACCATTGACTCAGAAACCAATCGCAGAAAAACAGGGCAGCTTGGGCAACAGTAAAGAGAGCAACAATGGCCCCGCAAAGCACTCGTCCATCCCATTCGGAAGCAGACAGATAGTCGAGGTACGTCTGGATGCGAACGGAACCTATTCGCCTCTCTTCTTGAGTGACCAGCTTTCGTGACGATACCTTCTCAATGTCGGCTACTTTACTCCCATCGAAAACTGGCTCCTTGGCGCTTGGATCGATGCTTTCGTCATTCGATACATCACTTGCTTTGTTCGTTGGTGGTGTCAGTAGGAACGAGAGGTCCCGTTCGAGTTCCGCCAAAGAGCCGTCGCCCACAATCTTTCCGTCGGACATGACCAATATCCTGTGCGCAAAGCGCAACAAGTGGTAGTGTGAGTTTAACACTAAAACACGAGTTTTATCCTGCGCAATGCCATCAATGCCATCGAGAAAAACTCGATTCGCCACATGTACGTCGAGCGCACTCAGCGGATCCAACACCACGAAATCGAATCTACGAGCTCGATACATAGCACGAGCTAAGGAAACCCGCGCCTTTTGTCCACCGCTCAAATTGATACCCCTCTCGCCAATTTCTGTCTGGTCTCCCTGGCCCAGCATTTTAAAATCAGATTCTAGTTGACACGCCTTGGTGTACACTTCGATAGTGATCCTTATCGTATGGCTCACCAAAAAGGATGTTGTTGCGTACTGTCTGGTTCTGGATCCACGCTTGCTGGCTTGCATATACTACACTGCCCTGAACTTCACGCACTCCACGGACTTGTGTCATCTCTCCCAGGATAGCATTGACGAGGCTGGACTTGCCACTCCCAACCGCCCCGACTACAATGGTTAGTGTTCGAGGCATGAGTGTCAGGTTGATGTTGGATAGTGTTGGTATTGCAGACTCGTCGTCCCATTTGAAATCTGCACCTTCTATCGAGATTAGCGGTTCTTGTCCTCCAGTTATTTCGTTGCCGCTGCTGTCGATGACTTCATCGGCCGAGAGAAACTCTGACAAACGCTTTGTGTGCCACAGCTTCAGCTACTGAACCGACGCATCCGCAAAGACACTGAACGGAGTTCGACATGCGGTCGTAAGTGCCACAATAAAAAAGGCCGATGCCACATCCAGCCCATCACCGACTATGATTGTCGTTGCGAAAGCAAACCAAATTAAGAAGAGTGGGCGCTAGAAATATAAGCACTGCGCTTGCAAGACGCAGATGGTTAAACTTCCGTAACAAGGAATCTCCTGCTCTCGAATATCACGAATCAAGTTGTTTGCCACATCTTCCCAGCCGTAGAGCTTCACCACTCGAACGCCTTGAAGCATTTCGTTCGTGACTTTCAAACGTTTCGCACCAATGCTGGAGATTTGGCGACGGTAAGCTCCAATTTGTTTTGCCAGGGAAAGAGAACTGAGCACGATGACCACTTTGGTAATAGCCACAGCTAATGCAACAGTCATTCCCATCTGAAGACCGACAAAAATACTCACGGTGACAAGCATAAGGGGCGAGACAATGCACCAAATTCCAAGTTTGTACGCCTCTGACACTCGATCACTGTCGACTCCGATAAACGTTAGAATTTCTCCGGTATCCATCGTTCGTCGTGCTGCGGCTGACAAACGCAGCAGCTTCCGGTAGGCACAATTAATTACAATCATACGCGCATTGCATGAAACTCGGGTGACAAGAAACTGACCCACGCTAATAGCCGTAGCCCCGCAGAAGGCTGCTAGTCCCAGTAGTATCGCCAGTACGTATCCCGTTGAAATGCCAAACATGTTGCTTTCACCTTCGATGTTTTTGATGATGGCCCTGATCAGAAATGGTTGAAGTAAAGTGAGACAGGCACTCGCAAGGTAGCACCCGAAGGCAACGCTGCAAGTGCGCTTTACACACTCCCAAGGCGGCTCTGGCAATTCATCGTAATCCTGGCGTCCTGTTTTTGGCTTGGTCGCGGAGAAGTAGAATGAATCAAACTTCTCTTGTAGTGGTCGGCAGCAGGAAGATCCCAGACGCTAGATTCATCGAGAGGAGTCTCGAAGCCACGCCTGAGAAGAGGATGTAGCCACCAGATTGTCATGACCGACAGAATCCCGGCCGTATCCAGTGGATTCTCTTTCGACTCAGCTTCGATCGAGTCCCCTTCAGAGAACCGGTGTCCGATAGATCTACTTGTCTTGAGTGCATGGTAATCATCATCGGTAACCACTGGACTGGTTCTTCCTTCGCGTAGCTTCATCACGTTGAGGAGATCAATATTACAATGAAGGTGGTATCTTGAATGACGTGTTTAACTGTAGCTACGACAGTCGCGCTTGAGAGAAATTTGCGAAGTGAGATCACCTCAGCCAGATATTTTCCCCTACTGCCGAGCCTTGAGGAGCGACTACATGTACTACATCCGAGGTGGTATTATTAGCGACATCATCAACCGGATCTACAACAATAAAATATGAGTGTAAGACGTGTAGCACTACAAAACTAACGACAGTATCCATCTGATCTGTACACCGATACTGTGTGATGTACGTTGAAGCTTGGTTTATTTAAACACGCCATTTACCAGAGCATTAGCAATACGGTAGATCGATTCCCGCAGTTTGACTGTTACATTACCGGTAATGTCGATAGTAAGTCGTCGTCTAGACGGGAAACTTTACCCGGGAAAGAAAATGAGATCGACTTTTAATTTACGACAGTAATCATAATTACGACGAAGTGCCAATAATCATCCGCAACCTGGCGGAAATGTCTCTTTTTAACTAGAAAACGGTGTTGCACAGAACTGTGGTCGTGATGCGCACCACAGTTGTGGAATTCAGATTTGTTATGCAACTGTAGACTGCATTGAATGACTTGTTGCTGGCGCAATACGCTCCAACCTCGAAGACCCTATCGAAAATTTTGCAATTTGATTGGCTAAGAGTTACGGCGCTCCGAGAGAACAATTGTGTTACGGAAAAGAAAGGCAGTTCTTGCCCTGCAAGACCGGTCATCCAGTGGATTCCAGTCCGGAAAGCCGGGAAGCTCGCACCTGTGCAGTGCGCTAGGCAGCGACAAGGGTTGCGCGGAGAAAATGGTAGATACACATGACTAAATCATTTCAACACAACAATTCCGGGAAGATTTGAACACAATACAGTACAATATGGTAATACAGAAACAAACCACACAGAGCGGCCTTTTTAATTGCACAGCTCGTGTTCCCCATCCTAAGACCTAAAGTGACACTAAAGTAGTAAACTGAAGTAATCAAGAAGTTGCAAAACCAGAAAAGTAGCAGAAGTAATACTTGGAGAAGTAACTGTATGGTCTGTTACTTTTGCAAACGCCTTGCAATTCAAACACAAGAAGCGAGGAGAGTGAGCGTTGCTCTGTGCGATCCATACAGCAACATGCCGGATCTCAGCGGTGAGGTGCTCCCTGCGGAGACACTCGCGGCAGGCGAAGAGATCGAGTACTACTCGAGGTGCTTTGTGACGGGCGACCCACGAGGCCTTAGAGTAGCAGTGATTCTAAGTGTCGACGATACTCCTGGAAATGAGCTGCCAGTATCTATTGACACTGGAGAATCGCTGCCCCTCACAAACTTCATGCGTCGCAGACGCGACGTTCTGGGGTGCGAACTAAGCCTAGAGCACGTCAAATGGCGCAAATTACGGTCATACCAGCTCGAGGCCGGCAAGATAGACCGGCTGATGATGGCAAGCGCTCTGTGCAAGGCTATGTCGAGCGCTGTGAGTGATGCAATTAATGCTACGATGGGTCAACTGCGAGGTGAGGCCGAACCCACCTCCGGTGCGACCTCAGTGGCTCAATGTGTCGACCAATCACCGTCGCCAAGGGAGTATGACTGTGTCGACGCTTCCGGAGCTGTGGAAACATACGAAAAACGCAAAAGAATTCCCGAAAGTGAATCAAATACGTATATCCAACGTGCTACGTGTGAGGGAAATCCTACTGGAGACCGTAAAGCCGGCGAATCGTCTGTGATCGATCTTACGTCTGAGGTTTGTCATGGAGAGCTGAACGCCCAGGCTATCCGCGCGTGTGCACTTGATGACGGAGCCTTAGCTGGTGAAGAAGCTGACCAATCCGCGCAGCCATCTGATGAGCCAAGGACGCATTCAAATCCTACACAATTTACCGATTTAGAGCTGGTTGAAGCTGACGAGTACGTCAAACCTGTTCCTACGCGGTGGGAGCGCTCAAAAATACGCCATCAGGCGAAGCGACGCCCTGGCCTTTGGAGTGTACCTCGATCTAAAAAGAGGCGCCACCAATTGAAGTAAGGTGTCACCCGCAGTGGCACAGAGATTTATCATGCACGCTCGCTAAAAGCGCACAAGGTACAGGCTATCCTACGAATGCCTGGAGTGCTAGAACCTCTTTGTAATCTTCACGAACGGCGCCCAGTATTCTCGCAGCCGGACGAGGACATAGATCACCTCCCCGCCGAGGTTGAGTGGCCCGACGACGTGAAAAGATTGGCGAGTGCCTAAATCCGTCCAAGATTAGATTCAAGGACGTGGGAGACTACGGATCATGTTGCTGCTTAGGAGATTGTTTCGTGCATACCTGCGCTAACGTGGGATCGGCTGTTAGCTGTACAAAAAAGACATGCAATCTCAATGCCCGATGCAACAACGCTCCTGTTGTGCGGTCTACTCTCCAGCTGTTTGACACTCATCGCGTGGGACTAGGTGTTTTTTACAACTGCTGATTTGGATGTGGGCGATGTTGTGGGCGAGTACGCGGGCGTTCTGCTTGAGTACGACGGCTTGGATAAAGGACAGCCTTACCAAGCGCTTAAACACAACAGTGGCTACACTATGCTCTACAACGTGCGGTCGATTAAGAACAAGTTTGTGAACGTCGAAGCAGTGAATGCTGGCAGCATTACACGTTTCATTTCCCATGCGTGCGGGCCCAACGCCGTGTTCGTGGAGTTGCACAGTAGGAGAAATGTGAAAGTGTTGGTGCGAATGATAGAAAACGTGAAGGCTGGGGCACAAATAACGGTTCATTACGGAGACGAGACGTGGTATAAATGTGCTTGTGATAAGTGCTGGGTGGATGCCGACGCCTTGGACGATTGAAGTAGGAGCTAACAGCAAACGCTAACATAACGTGGATAACTGAACACAATGTACGTATGTTGTACTACCGCACTGTTGATCGCATTGTATATTCCGGCTACTGGACGGTGTTGTTCTAATGTCATGTTTTCTTGAAGCCCAGAGCGCAGCAAGGCCGATTGTAGCGGTTAGTTCCCCCCAAATATATTTTATAGTGGATAACCAATACACTAACAGCCTCCCTCACCCTGCCGGGAACGGTCGCGGATGTTAAGAGGAAGCAGACGCAGGGTTTCTGTGACGGCTTCCAAACGAGGTGTCCAGCGTGACGAGCGGTAAGGCTCCACGTGATTGCTATGAACAGCTGAACACACTCGTGAATGGCGTGACGGGGGAGGCCAAAGGCGACTTCCGCCGTGTGTCCTGACCGCTATGGTTGCTCTGCTAGAGCTGGACAAGATGTCCGTTGACGAGCTTGGCGAAGTCTTGAAGGTAGGCGCCTTAGGCGAGGTGGCCATGCTAAGACCTCAGAGGGGTTGAACACCTCGTCCGCCGTGGATGACGCGGTCGTAGAGGACACCAAGAAGTAGCTGAGCGCAAGAAGTGGATGATCGATCCTAATAGATTTTTCGCCCTGTGGTGAAGGAGTATGGGACGTTGTTTCGAAGGACGCAACCTTCCAAAGAAAATGCATGCCCGGTGATCTTTGTTGGTTTGCTTTAGCCATATAAAGTCCCCGCTCAGGTGAGAGCGGAGGCGTTGTTGCCAACGATGGATGGGCTAGAGACAGCTGCAAGGTAGCAGGTGGAAGAACCACGGAGGGCAGGACATCAGCCGTGGTGGGCTTACGCTTGCGTATGTCTGTTATATCTTGGTAGACGAGTAGTCGCGGCTGGGACTGAGGTGCCTACACCGTGACGCACAGCAGACTAAAAATAGAAAGGGGTAGAGCCACAGGCCGCGTAGCAAAGTTATCGGGATGCAGGACACACAAGGTCCGAGATCTGGTTGTGCGTCAACTATAGTGACTGTAATCCATCCAGAAAGTGGATAGACGCTTATTATCGACCGATGGGCGGTGGATGTGGACATTTCGCGTCGCTTACGCAGACGTCGTGTGGACGCAAATGTCGTTCCGGCAAAAGCTGACTCTCTCCGCGAGAGTGCAGCTGAGTTAAGGTCTCCCCACGCTCTGCGCGAAGCGCTACCGAGCTCTACTATCACGTGGAGCACGGGGTAGACGCCAGGGGCGTACCCAGTATCTTGCGAAGTGGCTCACCCACAGAACCCATGGGAGGTTAAGGTTATTCCCCGGCAAGATTGCCCTGACGTCGTGGACGCTGACGACCGGGCACATCCAGTGCTTTGGCGCCCTCATGACGTGCGACAGCGTCGCCAGGCGCTGGGCGCCTCCCGCCAGAGTGGGAGAGAACAGGTCAATAGTTGAGCTGAGGTGCTGACCAATGGCTGTTCCAGCCATCTTGTACGTATGCGCGGTGCTCAAAGCGGAAGCAGGGGGAGGAGAGACCTCGTGGTGCTGGGGACGTGGTCCGAAAGGAAATATGTGCTTTGTGTCGTGCTGAACATTATTGAGACACAAGCGTCCTGATAGACGCATATTTGTTTCATAATAAGTTGCTCGATGAGCTTGATCCAAGTGTGGTTGCGCGGTAATAACGAAAGTGGTGTGTCCCGGACGGGGAACCCACTGCCCGTCGGCTTTCCAAGCTGACGCTCTAGCATTTAAGTGGTTAGTGTGATTTACGTAAGCTTGTCCGAGTACGGACTACTCATTGTATGAGGGGCTGCGCCCGGGTGAAATCGAACCACCGACATGTGGCTTTTAAAGCCAACGCTCAATTATTGAGCTACAAGGGCAATGCTCTAAAGTTTGTCCAGGCTAGGGCTATAGCTCATGGAACGAGAGGGCTCTGCCCTTATGGGCTTGACCCACCGACCTGTGGTTCTCCAAGATAAATGCTCGACCATTGAGCTAGAAGTAGGTTGCCCTTAAGCTTGACCAAGCGTGAACAATCGCTCATGGAACAAAATGTCTGCGCCGTGGTGGGATCGTATCACCGACATATCACTTGTAAAGCGAGTGTTCTGTCGCTAAGCTGTTGACGACGGCTCAAACGAGTCCAGAGCCTAGCTCTAAGCAGTTTGCATCACTTGGAGTAGGCGCGGAGCGCGAGCTTGAGAACGAGATACGCGGTGCGCTGGGATCATTGGGTCATGTATCGACGACGAGAAGCTAAGCGTCAACGATGCGTAGGCGTTTGGGAGTTTGTAAGGCTGTACAACGCTGGTGTGAGGTGTAGTAATCTCCACCGTCTTGACAAGACGTGTCCTCACTGAGGAAGTTTCGAGAGCTTGAATGTTCTCATCTTCGTGGGAAAGAGTGTAACGGGGCTTGTGAAGCACACAGGGGTACGGAGTAATCCGAAGAGTTATCAAACGCTTAGTATATAAGTCGGAGAGTTAACAAGACCTATCAGTACATTGGCAGAAAGTAACAAGTCATGCATTGACAAGGTTCAACTATGCCAGATCGTTATACAGATACATTTACCCCTGGATAGCGTGGCCGCAATAATACTAAATACAACACTTCTGGTTTCGAAACATAAAAATACTATATTAACTTTGAGCCCAGGTTGTGAGCTGTAAGTGACCTGCGGAATTCGGATTAGTGACGCTTTGAGCCGAACGGCTCCCTCTGATGCTAAAGCTAAGACAGCAACGCTGCCGGTGTGTCGATAACGCTTTCGGGTGTGATGTGTGGCTTACGTTCGATAAAGCTTTTGAAATAATCATGGCGTCGACGTCTTCATCAACCATATATTGACATCTTGCAAATTTCAGATGTCTGCGCTCTAACGAAAGGTGTAAGGCACGTGCAGGAACCTCACCTTGTTTACGCGGAACACGTTGGATATGAGAAGCATAAATGCGGACATCTTCTGAGGCGGAATAGCTGTCACATGAGCGCCCTCGTCTAGAATGCCATTTAGATACTCATTCTTCGGATGATGCTTTGCTTACTGCGCTCGAGTTGGCCGAATTCGGGCATCGAAAATGTATTTTAATCCTACACGATCACCTTCCGGAAGATGGCCCGTAGTATTTGAGCTTACTTGCACGGTCGCACTCTAAGTACCCAGCAAGCTTCGCCTTTTTTCGAAGCAGGGATATACGCCCCCTTGTGTTTGCAAATATTGAAATTATTGACACTCGTCCACGCGTACACAGCCAACGCGTCGTCTTTGTAGCTGGCATGCAATGATTTTAGAGGTGGATTGATCGTGCGCACAAGAGCAACTGGACTTGGTGGTACTACCGCTGCTGGAAGATACAAGTCACTGAGTATAATGGGCCTATGCTAAGCTAACTTCTTCGGCTTACACGTGTATTAGAAGGCATAAGATGGGTTTCACTTATATCAACTATACTTCTGATGTATAGATACACTTAAATAGGTAAAATTAAGACTGTTTATTTGTTTTGTTTCGTTTTTCCTCCTAATCTAATATTCTAAACGTAAGATATTTGCCAACGAATGGCTAGCAGAATCCTACAATTCTAATTGGTTGAAGATTGACTTTCAACCAATGAATGCCCTAGACACCAACCTGCCAAATGCAACGATTGGTGTATCTCACACCAACCTGGAGCTTCGTACTACATGTAGCCACTTCCTTGTAGCCCCATTTACACTGAGTGTCACGCATCGCGAATCTTCAAGCGCGTAGTTCTGGACGGTGGTGGCAAAATACGAGGTTGCATTTAGATAAATTACAAGACTTGGTTGCGTGGGTTACGCACTATCCGAGAAGATTGAGTTGAAAGCGTTTGTGGCTGACGAAAAGATGAGATCTAAGTGTATTTTGTTCCTAGTTGCGACGCTGCTAGCTTTACTTACATATGGAATCATCTCGATATATTACTAGAAGCTTTTTAAGAATTGAGGATGAATGTCCGACAACGATAGAAATCGGATCCTTCTTTTAGCTTAATACAATACTAATTAACAGTGTAATTAAAGATGCCGCTCAACATCCGGTGCTTAGCTCTTGGGGGCTAGTTCGTGCGTCAGAGCAAATAGCCTTCGCTTTTCTTTCATTTAAACCCCTTTCGTTGAGCAGCCATATCCCAATTTAATCCATTCTATTAGCTAATCAGATCAATGCGTGAAGGCCTAGACCCGCAACCAAAAATGCTTGATATTTCTCCCCAGAAACCGCTTTCTTCCGAAACTGCGATATTAAGCGGCTTGATTACTTCTCAGCCCGTCCTTGCGTGACTTCCCGTTTCGGTCCAGCTCAGATCTTCGCAAGGATGGAGTCCATCATGGACAGCTGATGGACAAATCAATAGAACCGAGCACTTACAATCCTTTATGTTTATCTAAAGCCTTTGGCTGTGTTCCAACACGTAAGCATCACAACCGCGTAATACAGGCATACAGATTTTGGATGAAGTCTAAATAACAATCGCCATCACTCAGTAAAAAATGTACTTCTAGTTGTAATATACCACAATTTGTGTCCTTCCAACTTCAAGTATATTTTATTGCACAGCACACCCCTGGTCGATCGAGCTCTGATGTTGAGCTAGTGACGGCTTCCACGGGGCCAATACTGTCCCTTTCGCGTGGGTAAGCGCGTGGGTAAGAGGGGACGACTCTACTACGGCATTAAGTGCTGCTGTGTCTTCCACATTGCTATTGCCGCACATCACGAAGCGATTGAGGCGACTCCTCACCAATACTTCAAAAATGTCGATGATAGCCTACTATCCGATAGTAGGATACACGATGAAAGGACAGAGCTGCGAGAAGCCCACATCTCATCCTCCAGTTGCTGTGCCTCCCCCACCGCGTATTTCGGCACATGCTGCGTTAACATCACCCATTAGGCTAACGCCGCCCCGGAAACAGTGCACTTCGAAGGTCGTTGCTCGGCAACTATAATACAAGCTTAAAGTCCACCAATCAGAAGCCCTGCATCATTTCCCAAAAAATGTATCAAATCTAACACGCGGAACGACAAAGCGATACGTTTTTGTAGCTTGCTTACGTATCCCAAAGAGGCGGAAGCGATGTATGCTGATACGATGTTCTCAAATGTTGCCAATAACGAGTAGACATTGCAAGTTGCGGTTTAGGTGCAATTTGCAAAATTGCTTGTACAATAAGTGGAGATTATATCACTTTTGATGCTATTTTATTAGGTTCAGTCTTTAGTTATTTGCTCAATAATAGTATTTTGAGCTGAGACTTCCGTCACTCAACATGTTTTCCCTTGCTGTGATTATAATAATTTGTCATGGTAACAAAGACAACATACACAATATTATTGTATCTGCTCTGGTCTGAAAGTGTGTCTGTCGCCGTCCTATCCACATGCGTCACAATCATCGCCAGAGATTTAACCACACACGCATTTAAAGAATACCATACAATGGTTAGGGGCACTGGTCTCAAATAATAAGAGAGTGAAGGGTATCAGTACAGTAGTTGGTTACCCAGCCAGTCACTTTTTAGTTTTCTCAAGAGGTGCTAAGACGATGCTGTCTCTCGAAGACTCAGAGATGTTATCCGTGTTACTCGCCGATGCTGCCTGCGATCACGACGCCACGGTCGGTACAATCCCTTCTGGCATGGAGGAAGGAGGAGTGACACGTGCTTGCAGATCAACTCAGAAGAAACCTCGCAATGCAAAGACGGGTAGCTTGCCATATTCAACTGCCCTTCAGCGTCGTCAGAAAGCGGAGTTAGAATCCCTACGGGAACAAGCCCATCGGCTGAGTCACCAGATCCAGATTTTAGCTTCAGTCGAAAGGAACCAGTCACACACAAGAACGATACACGCTGAGGTATTGCATCAAGAACAAGGCGAACAACTTAAATGGCGCGATCGCGCGATACTCAATTGGGAGGAGCGTAACCGCACGGCCAGGGCTCATCTCCACTTGAGAAAGATATACGCACAACAAACCAAACTTATCGGTGGTATGCGCACTATTCTTGGTCGGAGCGACACATTTGAGGTACAGTATTCTCGCTCGCACCACTCACACTTAAGCTTTTCTCCCTATTCGAGTTGAACTCTCACGCCGTTTCGACTGCACTTTTAGGGATTCAAGTTTGTCCAAAAGCCTCAACCGATGGCTGACCGACCTTTCTTTTTGGTCGACACAAACGAGCCGATGCTAGCAGAGCTTCGAGCAAGTTAGCATGGATGCATCTGCAATCGGGCTTGATAATGTCGACGCTAGGCGATAATCTCTTTGTTGGCTCCTCCACGCAAGAAAACCTCGACGAAAATCGCATCGAAACATTTTCGATTACACCGCTTCCGTGCACGGTACATGAAGCTGAGCAAATCCTGTGGCGCTACGTCACAAACGAGGACACCTCGAGCGCTGGTAACGAGGCCTTCAACTTTGTACGTCTGCTTTGAGAGGGCTGTCTCGCGAACTTTTATAATCCTATACGTAAATGGTTAAATGGTGTAGACTCAAGCTCGAGGTTTCGACGGAGGCCAGACGCCGTTCGATCGACGCTGTGTAACTCACCTCTTCATCCAAAACAGCAAGTTGGGCACTCCTCTGTATGCCAACGCGCTCGGAGTCTATCGCAAATATCGCGACAAAAGCCAAGTTGATCTTGTTGGACGAATGCGTTGGCTCCTACCCGGAGATAGTCTCGAGTTTGAAGACCAATATATAAACGGTGATCGAACCACACCCTTGGGATCCTGAGAACTACTGCGTCGTTCGAACACACTATCAACTGGAAGGCCGAAATTCTGGAAAGAGCTCCAGTGAACAACAACATATAATTCGGAAACTGGTGATTATGAGTATCTCCGACAAGAATCGCCGCTCAAATATGGACGCTAACACTTGTTACGATTTTATAGTTTTGGTACCTGCACTCGATAATCTATCAAATTATTGACGAAATCCATTTACATTCTCTAGTAGATAGATTTTACGAATTCAGGGGGCAACGAGACGACTGCTGCAAGTTGTCATTTCGCCGTCTTTCGGCAACACGTGTGTGTCACAGTCTTCGGCTAGAGGAAGGACTCGCTATTCTAGACGACGCCTACGGCAGTTCAGTGCGCGGCGCAAGAGTGTCACGCCCGACCAGTCCCGCTCCTCGACGCAGGCAACTTCGTCTCTAGTCTAAAGTGGAACCAAGAGGTCCAGACAGTGAGACGATGGTGAAGTTTACAGCAACAACAGGAGGTATGAGAGCTGGTAGGAGGTAATTTCGTATGTTAGAGAGCTGATGAGGGAGCTCTCAGTCGTGAATTTCCTTCTTTTACAGGAAGCGCTCAAGAAACAGAAATAGACAAAATACATTTTACTCAAGTATTACGTCAAAGTTCCTACTTCGGCTTATAGAAGATACACGATCCCGACAAGAGAAGGAGATAGCGACCTGTATATATTTGCACTCAATATTCTCGTATTTGCACTCGAAACAACAACACGGTAATAAACGTGGAAAGGAATTTTGAGGTTCAGTTGCCAAGTTAACAGGTCGAGAAAGGAGTTTGACCAATTTACGTCTCAAACGGTTATGAAGGGTACTTCTTTCTCCCATTCAATTAGTTACGCTTAGTCTGAAGACCTCGAAAGAGTAGGGATCCCAGATATGGTTTGTGCACACCGTGAGTGTAACGGGGTACGTAGCCCTAAGTGTACCCTGGTTACATGAAGTGTGACACTTCACACTTCAGGTGTATGACACGTCATACTCCGGGATATTTGGTACAAGGTACCAAGGTCTTTCAGACATTGCATTTCTATAGGTAACTTATAGTTTGCATTAAACCCAAGCTTAACCTACCTATAAATATACTCAATTTACAATCTACCTTATTTAGGTCGCTTCGCTCTCTTTAAATAAAGAGGGGACCTGCGAACTGCCGTTCACTGAGAGTTTGTATACTCTCGGAAGATAACTTCCTCTAGCGCAAGGTGCTGTGTGACCCCGTCACACTTGGTAGCACTAGTAGTCAATCCACGCCACCGCGGGTAGACTACCTGAACCTCTCCGAAGTTCGTTGCCATGGATAGGAACGACTTCTCCCATATGAACGACTCTCAGTTCGAGTCGGTTAGGAAGATGGCAGGCATCTTCGGGATGGAGGCCCTGCAGATCCTGGTGGTGTCAACACCGGCTGAGCAGCTCGAGCGCGGCAATGCATTCGACGCGTACGAGCAGGGCCTCATCGTGCATGTGCGGGAGAACCTGCATGCTCCGGCGGCGGAAGCAAACCCGCCTCACCCGAAGCCAATACGGCTGAAGGTTAAGCCGTATGAAGGGAAGGAAGGCGAAAACCTTCACTTCTGGGTCCGAGAAGTAGAGCTCGCGATGAACGCGGCTCTGATCTCAACCGAGCAACTGCGTGTTGCCTTTGCACTCTCTAACTTTAGCGGCCGTGCTAAGAGTTGGGTGTACACACGGGAAGCAACATCCCCTGGATGTTTCACATCCTGGGCTCAACTGTGCGAACAGCTTCGAGCCTCGTTCCTCCCGGCGAACTACGAGTACCGCCAGCGTTCGCGCTTCCTCTTGAGTAAACAAGGGAGGCGCGAACTACACGAGTATGTGCAAGCGATACGGGAGCTCACGGCGTCTCTAGTGGGAAGCCACTCAGCGAACACATCAAGATGACTGTGTTCATGGACGCCCTTCGAGTGGGCCCCGCACGCACTCAGCTGTTCCGGGCGCAGTCAAGCCCCTTGAAGAGGCGATTCAATTTACTCCCCAAGAAAAGTACAGCCATCGCCTGGCGCGTACGCCGGCCTCAGCATGGTCTGGGACGCCGGCCTCAGCATGGTCCTTGTCGGCTCCCGGTCGAGCAACCCCCAACGGACCAGTTCCCACGGAACTCGGGTTCGCCGAACAGCGTGACATCCGCTGCTTCGGCTGCGGGAAGATGGGCCACTTCAAGCGCGAATGTCCCGCGGAAAGACTCCACAGGTGGTCCTTCCCCAAGCCCGTCCTCAAGGGTCGCTGGCAGAAGCCAGGATCCCGGGGACAGGGGAACGCCGGGAACCAGTAGGGGCGGGGCGCCCTACTGGGGAAGAACTAAGTCTTCGTGATGGGTGCGCGGGTGGCGCGTACCACGGGGACTTAGCCCCAGAGAGTCTTCGCACTCTCGAATCGGCGAAGAGCAGCGGCGGGTTGCTCGTAGTACACGGATGTGTACGGGGATACGATCATCCCTTTAGAATCTTGGTCGATTCTGGGGCGTCAAAGAATTTCGCACGCGAGACGGTTGCTCGCAACAGCAACAAGCTGTCCGATGCTTTGAGAGAAAGCAAGGGCACGGGACGGTGTCAGTGCAACTGGCCGACGGGAAGGTCGTCAATGTTCTTAACGTCCAAGTGGATCTGGCCGTCAAGTTTGAAGACTTTGACAGCCTCGACCAGCTCAGTGTTCTTGATATGGATCCATATGATATGATCCTGGGCATGCCCTGGTTTGAGAAGCACGAGACCTGGATCGACTGGCGAGGCAAGGCTATCGGTGCCAGCCGCCCTGCGAAGTCCGACAGAGCATTGATGAGTCATGTGCCCACCTCTGGCAGGACCCGGGGCGCCCGCAAGGGCTGCCAGGGTACCAAAGCATCCGGCAGATGCTTGGGAGTCGTCGACGTATATAACGACTCCGAGGATGGTTTGATGGTGGCAGCGCCCAGAAAAAGCGCTGGCCAAGTGGGTAACTTAGGTCCACAGGCGGGTAACTTAGTTCCGCAGACAGCTGCAGCTGTCACGAACACTGAGAACAGCGTGTTCAGAGTGGATAACAGAGTTCCACTCACGGTCACCCAGACCTTAACTGAAGAGGAAGACGTCGGATCCGCTTCTTGTGTGGGTAACACAGTGCCACACGCGGTCGCCCAGACCTTAACTGAAGAGGAAGGTGTTGAGCACGCTTCCTGTGTGGGTAACACAATACCCCACGCGGTCGCCCAGACCTTAACTGAAGAGGAAGGCGTCGAACACGCTTCCTGTGTGGGTATCACGGTACCACACGAGGCCACGAGTGCCTCGGATGTCGTAGCGCCGACATCCCAAGACGTGGGCAGCAAAGCTCGACGTCACGGTCGCCGTCATCAACGACGCCGCCGCCGCCTCAAGTCGGATCCGGACTTCGTTCCATCGACGTCGCTTCAAGCGACTCGGAGTCCAGGGCCCGGGCTCCTCCGACAAGGCCGGTGGAAGAGTGTTGTCACATCTTCGATGGCGAGACCGGTTTACCCGTCAAGGCATCTGGTGTCCACTTGGAACCGTTGCCAGAGATTGCAGAGATACTGAACCTCGAGGAAATGACGGCTGAGTCTTTCCTGGCCAACCTCAAGGCTGGAGAGATTGCTGAGACGGTACTCAAGAGACCTGAGACCACTCGGGAGGAGCTGAACTCCTCCTCTGTCTTGGACGAGAACGTCCTGGAAGTCCTGAACAACCAGCGTCAGACGCGCTTGGGTACTGAGATACTTAAGAGCCCCAAGGATCTGGTGTATCCTTTGGTGACGGAGTATGCGGACGTGGTGAACAAACACCCACCGACCCAACTCCCACCGGATCGAGGCGTACGGCACGAGATGGATCTCGTGCCCGGCACAAAGTATTGTGTCACGAGGCAATGGCCTCTCCCGTGCGAACAGTGCGAGGTCATTGATGACTTCTTCGCCACGAAAGCGAAGGAAGGCATGGTGCGGGAATCGAAATCCCCGCGCTCGACGCCGCCTTTCTGCATTCGGAAGCCGAACGGAAAGTGGCGTCTGGTTCACGCTGATAACAAGCTGAACAACGCAACGGTGCCGGCCCAAACATCAATCCGACGAAAGGATGTGTTGCTGAACAACATGGCCGGGAGGGTACCGTACAGCGCGCTGGATTTGGTAGACGGATACTACCAAATCCTGATGCGAGAGAGCGACATCCCGCTCACCGCGGTAACTACTTCAAGCGGCATGATTTGGGAGTGGCTAGTCATGCCGCAGGGCTTGTCTAACGCCCCGGCGACGTTCAATCGTCTGATGACGCAACTTTTCGGCCCTTTGCGTACCTTCGTACAGAGGTACTTCGACGACATATTCGTCCATAGCCGTTCCGAAGGAGGCAAGACGGCCATGGAGGTGCATCTAGGACACCTCCGTCGAGTGTTGGACGTAATGCGAGCGAAACAAGCTCAACGCCAACATCGACAAGTGCGTTTTCGCGTCACCAGAGATTAAAGTTCTCGGTTGCTTCGTAAGCAACGTGGGCGTTCGGGCTGACCCAGCCAAGGCCAAGGCCATAGCAGCATGGCCGACGCCCCGATCCCAGAAAGATCTTCGAAAGTGGTTGGGCTTGGCCAACTACCTTCAGAAGTACCGCGCAGGGTACGCGGACTCGCTAAGCCCTTGTCGAGCCTCCTTCAGAAGGACGTCGACTGGCGCTGGGAGCAAGAGCACCAGGATGCTTTTGACAGCATCAAGGCCAGTCTCCAAGAGGCCCCTGTCCTGGCCCTGCCGGACGAGACGAAGCCGTTTAGCGTCGTCTGCGATGCCTCCGATTACGCCATTGGACGTGCATTGCTGTAGGCCGACACGACTGGACAGTCCAGGCAGCTCAAAGCCGCCGAGCGGAACTACCCTGTCCACGACAAGGAGCTCCTGGCAATAAAATATGCCCTTGTGAAGTTTCGTGTTCACCTTCTGGGCTCTAGGCCTTTTGTGATCTACACAGACCACGCGTCCTTGAGGACGGCGACTAACTCGCCTCACCTCTCCCAAAGGATGGCGAGGTGGCTGTCCGTCTTCGCGGAATACAACGTCCGCGTCGAATACAAGCCGGGCAAGATCAACGTGCTTGCGGACGCCCTCTCTCGGCGTCCTGACTATGAGCTGGCCCACATCACGCGGGTGACAACGGATCTATATGATCGGATACGCATGGCGTATCGGGACGATGAGGCTGTCGCGCTTATCGTCAAGTTCCTTATGGCAGGAACGAGCGCGAAGTCCGACTGGATCTCGTCGCGACAGCGCTCACGGCTCCACCGATATGAGTTGAAGGATGGCCTTCTCTATTACCAGATGGAGCCCCATGATCCTCCACGGGTGGTCGTACCCAACGACGAGGATCTGAAGTTCGATATCCTCGCGGAGGCGCACGACGCGCCCTCCAGCGGCCACTTGGGCCGCGAGAAGACCTTTCTGTCGGTCTCTCAGTCCTTCTCGTGAACCCACATGTACAAGTGGGTCGCCCGGTACGTTGAGACATGCGAAACATGTCAGCAGGTCAAACCCGCAGGGCACTCTTCGGCTCCACTACAGAGCCTGCCCGTCC